GGGATTGTATTCAATAAATCCTGCAAAGAAACAATTGTGTACAATAAAAGCAAACACTATAATATGCTCATAGAAACTGATGCAAAAAAAAAAAAAATTGCACTACAGTGATTAGCAGCACATCAAAAACACGTTGAAAAAGTTCAAAACACTGATTAAAATTACCATCTGCCCTGAGATCATGAAAAGTTCTTCAGTCCCACTGTCCACTGATACAACCTTATTACCTAGCAGCAAATCTCATACATGGGTACCCTTGCATAGAACTAAGCCGTACTGGGACAGTTTAACTTTTGTAATGTCAGCTGCACAGGAAAACTACACTCACACTAATACTGTGCCACAGTTACGGCATAGGACATTGTTGTCAGATGTAATTCATTCTGTAATATCACTCACATACAAAAAAAATAAATAAAGTATTCCTAAACATAGCTTATATGTATATGATGATGGCGGGCCATCCACATACCTCCAGTATTCAGTGTCCTGAGAAGTGGGATGCTGGTGGGAAGGGAGTTAAGGGGAATGTCCTCTAATGCAAATGCGGATCCACACGATTTACTGGCAGGTCTATCTGGTGTGAGCCCGCCAGGCTGCCTGCCAACCATGTAAGGACAGCTCAATGAGGACAGACTATGCAGAGAGCACTGGATGGTCTGCTCTCAGTGCTCCATTTATTGTCTAATTACCCTGAACATAGAATGAGCATATCTAATTATATGCTCACCCTATGCTTGTTGTGGACAGTGCCCTGGTGTCCTGGTTTTGGAGACACCAAGGAACTGTTCTCAACAAGCATAGCGAAAGTTGGGATGGTGTGACTGTCCCACCAAAATTGGGACGATTGCATGGCCTGCATCAAGAGCTGGGCAGATATTTTTATACCACCTGAAGTACCATTCACCGATCTTCTGATACATTTCCTATATGCACTCATCATGCACTTTGTTTACCTTATAGTTCATCAGATAGACTGATGAACATGTATGAATGATTGAGACTGTGCTCACAATGTTGGAGCTACACCTGCACAGTATATAGGAGGCCCAAGTGTTACTGATTTTCTTTGTATATCTGATACTCCAGCTGCTTCTATTTCCTTAAGGGCCACTGGAAAAAGGAGACAAATTAGAAAAGATGACACAAATTTCCTGCTATCTAGGCCACAAAGTACTAAGGAAGCCATAAAAGTAAGACAGGGATAGAAAAGCATTCTATCAATTCTTAGAATGGTTTGTGAATGACCTCCATTGACAGGAAAAGAAAGAGTGCCTGCAATAAGCTAGCATAAACAGCAAACCAAGGCAAGGCAATAAAAGTGGACATACACAATGACAAGACAAAGCATGGAAAGAGTCAGGAAATCAATGCATATATGAGAATCAAGCCAAGGTCAAAAAGTAAAGCAAAGAATGATCGGGAACAATCTATATGAGCCAGTGGAAACCATGAGAAAGTAGTAACACATATGAGTAGTAACACATATTTTAAAGACCACGTTATGAGTGAATGGTATGTTTGCTGGCATGTTTTGTCAGATTGGCACTGGTACATGCTTTAGAAATGGTCATCCAGTGGCTGAGAGCAATGGCTGCAAAAGTTGCATGTAAAATTTTAGAAGACCTAATGAAGGATATTTTTGGGGAAATGATTTCAAGGTGAGCTGGACTGGTGTAAATATTTATTGGTAGCCAACCAAAATGTCTACTTAGTGAGACTTCAAGGCCAACATTTGCCAGCTTCTGTTGTGTTTGACATAATTAATAATTTGGCAAGCAACTCGGCTGTTTATTTTGATGCACCTTGGCAGATATGTATTATTAATTAGGCTGTTAGCACAGAGATATAAACCACGGAATTCATCCTACAAAGTGCTATTGTATCTACAGGTAGAAAGTGCTTTCAGGTTATTTTTCTCTCATGTGCCGTATTTGCTGAAGGGGATGCGTATCAGTTAAATATTTGGAATCAGGCAGATCAGTAGATTTGTAGATTAAATTTTTGGGCGATTAGGTGATTTGTCCAAAATTCCAGCACTAGCACCCAGTTGACATATAGAAAAAAAAAACCTTTGTGGTACAAGCGTTAATCTTTTGAAGCTAAGAATTATTTAATTATACAGGCTTCAGATTTATTGGGCTCCCAATCACTATTAGTATGGTGGGGGGGTCAGTATAATTTTGTTTTTATTGTGTGCAGATGGCTATGAGCTTGGGGATCACTAGTCCCCTCAATGCTCACATTTTTGGAGAGTGAACAATGGTATGGCCACTGCCAATAATAACTCCCATTCAAAGCCCATCAGGTGGAGAGGGTTGGGAGGTGGACAACAGCATGTCCAGCCTACCCATTTGTTTTAGTACCCCTGCCGAAGCCCATGGGTGGCCAATAGCATATCTCCCTCCCTTCATTATTAAATAGCCCTCACCCGCTGCCCTAGGAGGTAGTCTTGGAGGTACAATAATATGTTGCTTATTTATTAAATAATGGCCCCATCTGCAGTCTATCATTGTGGCAGGGGCAGACAGTTTAATTCTAGAGCCATCGCCACATGCATGGGTGGGGGTTGGAGGGAACGCTGTCCACCCCATGTATTAATTAACTTACCAGATTGCAGCCTTTGGGTGGGGAGAGGGGGACACATTTGTTAGCCCTGGTTAATTTTTAGACCACCCACCTACCACTCATGGATGGGGGCCAGGGGAGACCTTATAATATCACCCATTGTTTTTGTTTTTTTACGTTTTCTTAACCTCTGACCATGGGTGGGGGTAGGGGAGTGGACAGTGACTATGGGATCAGAGACAGATCCAAAGCCCAATTTCTTTGTTTGTTAAAACACCTGTGTATTTGTTTGAAACATCAATGTATATGAATACAGATGTGCAAGCTGAAGTGCTTTATGTGTTTGGAATGTCCCTTTAATATATCTGGAGTTTGTTTTTTTAGATACTGGATAAAGTCACATACAAATGGTAAAGAACATAATAATAACTTGCTAACTGTTAGAATGATTTGTGCATGTCATGCTTATAGCATTAATAGACAGAATACAGACTAAGACATAGTCCACACACAAAAATACAGTTTTACATTTTGCAAAACTACTTAAAATCACCTATCTCAGCAAACAAGTATGGGGATTCAGTTCTGTGATATGGTCATATCGTTTAATAAACTTTTTAAGAATAGTTAAACCACTAAAGGTGTGCCAGAACCAGGGGCCTACTGGCACCATAACAACTTAATTTTGATAAATTTGTTATGGTGCCCAAACTGGCCCTTTATATAATGACAGTGCTAAATGAATATAAATTAAATTCCCTTTTTTTCTAGCAATGACAGACAGACCTGGCAGAGTGCCTGCCAAAATGCACACTAACACGGGTGCTAACATACCTGCTGCTTTTGATTAATTGCATTCTTAAAAAAATTGGCAGATATAATAACATGTTATCATAAAATCCTAGTGAATTTTTCAAGCAATTTTGGGTCATCTACATTTCATTATGAATTATTTCATATTATTTAATAAATTAACATTGAAAGAAATAAACAATTAAGATCGGCACACATAAACAACATCTTCCCAGTAACAAGTCATTTAACGCAGTGTTCTGCTTGCCTCAGACCCAGACGTCCAAACTAAATATTTTTTGCTTAAAGCACATCTTCACCCAGAACACTACTCCACAGCCTGTCATACTGTGAGATGTATTCAAAGGTGGGATATCTTCACTATTACATACTATGACACAAGTTTTCTTTGTCAAGATGTTCTGGTCAGTCAAGTCTCTCAGTCTTGTTTGGCCTCCGGCAACAGAAATATTTCATTCTAACAAGACATTGCTATTAAATTTCTATACCATACTGTATAGTGACAAATGTAACCTTTATATTGTTGTTACATTGCAGTTTAGTTTTTCTTTTTTCTTTATAATTCAATATTAATTCAATATTTTGGCCTTGGATAATGCATGGAATGTCCATTATTTTTGTTTTGAAAACCGAGGCAACGTTTAAAGCTTAATCTAGGACTAAATATGGTAATGCATTCAAAATATATACTTTTAACATTTCAGTCTCCTGAATTTCGGTACCACTCCATTCCTCTTATTTTACGATAAATATGTTTATACTCAGATTAGGGATTTCACACTTATTTTTTTTTGACACTCTTTATTTTTGTTGTGCAGTGGGATACAAATAAGCATTAAGTGACATTACCAGAAAAGCAAATAAGTCACGTGACGTTGTGAGCGTTTCTACATCTAGTCAAAATACAAAGCCTGTTTGATGGTTAAAGTAGAGAAAATAGGCATATCTTTTGTACATAGAAAACAGGCTAAATAAACATGTATAGACTTAGTCTAGATATATATGCTCGAAATCTAGAATAATTCGGAATAAATTAGGTGAGTAAAACAGGTGGTAAATGTGTCACATGTAGGTGACACTATGCTGATTTCACACATTTATATAGAGTTTATAGTCATATGGTGTTGTTTAAAATCTATTAACATTATTGTTGAAATACTCTCTGTGGTGGAAACTCCAGCTTGTATTTATTAGGAGTCACTGTTATACTCTCATCATCGTTATCCATTTATTCTCTTGGCTGAAAACCACTAAGGAAACAGCTAATTGAGTAATTGAAACATCAGAATGGTTTTAGTCGACATAATCATTGTATAAGTGTCAGAGTATGCTCACATCTTTGGGTTAATATACGTACTTAGCTTATATATGATATGATATGATGTGTGTGTGTGTGTGTGTGTATATATATATATATATATATATATATATATATAAATATATATATAAACAGTAAAAGGATAGCACTCTCAGGACTTCCAAAATAAAGTAAAACGTAACTTTTAATGTCCAAGGTTAAAGATCAACGTTTCAGTTCATCTTGCAAACTTTCATCAGGATAACATTGTACAATAATAAACAATCTTATATACCCTCCACCATAAAACACTCACCCAATAATCTGAGGGGGTGATCCCTGAACCGCCAAGTTCTTAGTCCAACTGGGTCACTAATTGACCTCTATGATGTCAATGGTGGTTCAGGGATCGCCCCCTCAGATTATTGGGTGAGTGTTTTATGGTGGAGGGTATATAAGATTGTTTATTATTGTACAATGTTATCCTGATGAAAGTTGGCAAGACGAACTGAAACGTTGATCTTTAACCTTGGACATTAAAAGTTAAGTTTTACTTTATTTTGGAAGTCCTGAGAGTGCTATCCTTTTGCTGTTTCTATATTATTTGCTGACGAGCACCGGGCTTAGTACACCTGAGTAAGTGGAGTGCAAAATGTTTTTCTTGTGTATATATATATATATATATGTTCGTACTTGTCTTCTGTTAACTTCCGTCTGAGCATTATTTCTTTCTCCTTTCCTTGTTGACTCGGACAGCATATGGTTTTTAAGTCTAAACATTATAATTTCAGTATATGCATATTTTATTTCTCTATATAAGAAGAAAATCAACTGTGGCCTTTTCAATTCTATGCCACACTGCTTTTTCCACCTTGTATAGTTTACCTTCTTCCTTAAATATGGACATGTGTGTAGACCTCTGCCCACTTCCCACCCATCTGAAACCAAAAACAATCCACTACAACTATATTAGTTTTAGAATTCTATTAACATGTAGCAACATCATTTTTGTGTTTCATACCTACCTATCTGCATAACCTAGGGCTGCTGCCTTTGTTTCAGTTTGGATGGTCCATGATATATGCTCCTTGTTTGCCAGTCCAAATGCAAGTACCCTAAACATATAATCAATGGCACCTTGGTCTGAGATTCACTCAGTTTAGAAAAAAATTTCAGGAGAAAAAAAATAATAATATGGGTACTCTCCATGTGAATAAATGATTTTATTTCAGCCTATATAAAAATATTGAAATACATTTCTACAGATGGCTACTAAGGGAAGCTACCTGAGGGAAGCACGTCCCTTTAACCTCATTGTATTTATATGTGGTGCATAAGATGACTAGGTCCACTACACAGGTGTGGTCGGTAGAACCAACAGACAATCAGTGCAGAGAACTAATTGACATGGTGGGGTAACAGACAGCCCTTATGATTCCTTGGAAAAGCACAATCCATTTGGTGGACTTGGTAGAGTTAAAAAGGGTGGCTTCCAAAAATGTTGCATATTGATACTGTTTTTTTTTAACTGAACCTGTAATCCACAAAGAGACATTAAGGGAAATACCCACAAAATAGTAACAGATGAAAATGAATTAACCTTGATGTAATAATTAGTAGTGTTAACAACAAAACAAATATTTAGTGCTTGGTTTTACTATTAAAGGAACACTGTAGAGTTAGGAATACAAATCTGTATTCCTAATGTTGTAGTGTCCCTAGTTTTGTACCCCCCCGAGCCGACCAGGTGCTCTGTACATAAGAGGGATGTGCAGCGTTAGACTCCCCCCATCATGTAGATCCCACCCCCCTTATTAGGCCACCCAGGACTGATAATGTTGGGTGAGGCCTAACTAAAGAGGTGAGATCTATCTGAGGGGTCATCAATCAATGTTTACCTATGGGGAACATAAAATGATGATAGACATTCTCATACAGTGTGGGAGGAAGTCCAACATTGAAAACCACTAGGGATCTGGAAGCGCAACTACTAGACAGCCACTCGAGGTAGAGTTAATCCTGCAATGTAATCATAGCAGTTTCTCAGAAACTGCAATGTTATACATGGTAGGGTTAAACAGACTCAGTCCACTTCAATGAGATAAAGTGGTCTGGGTGCCTATTGTGTCCATTTAATGCTTTGTAAATAAACCCAGAGTTAATTGCTGGTGGTTTTCATTTAAATTGAAATTCTAGCACTGTTTTGTTATATAGAAAAGAAAAGCACTTTAAATAAAGTCAATCCTCCACCCACATTTTAAGGTGCTTCCAATACAAATAATTTTTCACATACCACAGATCCTTAAGTGAACTGCTACATAAATTATAGCTATTGTCAGGAAGTGTAAGTGCAGTTAATGGGATTCCTGGCTACAGTAATATATATATGTACAGTTCATCATCGGTTTTGACCTAGACATTTACAGTAATACAATATTTATAAACCTGCCTTTATCTCTCCTATGATGGCTGACATAAAGAGTTGGATTTATTCATTAACATATAATAAAGAGAATAGTCTATATATTTTGGCCAAAATAAGCTAAAATGTAAATACATCTAAAACTATTTTCGTAACTTGATTATTTTAACCTAAAATATGAATTCTCCCATCAATATTCCACAATTCCAGTTTTAGTGAAAAAATAAAACCCGATGTTTAGCTTATACTAATATTACCACATTTTAAAGTAGAATCTGATACATAATTTGGATGTACTGTATTTCAGCAGATGTTCCCACTCTTAATCTCATGCATGGATTGACTCATAAAATCTAAATTAGCATCTAGACTGAAAAACATGGGTTAAATAACAGAACCGCACAAAATAAAATCCAGTTAAGGTTTTACTATAGATAAATCAAATGCAAATTTAGATATTGGATCTGAATGGCAAAATCGAGTTTAGGCAATCTAATGTCTGGTAAATACCAGTAAGAAAACCAAATTTAGAGAAAAGAATATTGGCATTTTTAGCAAGTACTCCGTTAACTCCATATTTGTTAATTCAGATTCAAATTTGTTAGCTTTAATTCAATACCACTGAGGCATCATAATGAAATCAAATAAATAAACAAGCAAATAATGCTCCCAGCTGCAATTTTGTTTAATTAAAACCTAGCAGTGGTCCTAGAACCCCCATAAAACTAGGAAACATCCATTGTGCACATTTCTGGCTGTTTGCAAAATAATAAAATGCTTATGCCCATGAGACCAACTCAACAGTGGTAGAAAGACAGTCACATTCCTTCAAAGTGTCCCTATTTAAGAGGAACAGTCCCTATTTTGGGCCAGGTCACTCTGTCCCTCTTTTCTCTCTTAACGTCCCTCTTTTCTCTCTTACTGTCCCTCTTTTCTAAGCGTTCCATATTGTTGTTGTGTCTGAGTGTATAACAGAGCTCCACAGCAATAATGCTGCCAATAATGTGTATTTAAACTACAATACATTTGTTTGGAAATCAGTCTGTGTAAATAAGATACATTGTTCTTGTTCTAAGTTACATTTTAGTTGCACAAATCACCTACAATATCTCAGAACAGCCCCACCCACTGGTCACACCCTCACTCACACCCCTCACACCCCCTGTGTACTTTTCAGATGTTGGGAGGGAAGCAATCATAGCATCCAACGGGCTGTAGATAAGAAAAGAAGTATAAAGGTGAAAGGGTTAATTAAAATGAATAGGGTTAAGAAGCTTCCATCTATCTCACAAAATGATGTGCATGGTCAATGAGTTTTCAATTATCTGGGGTTTCATGGATCATTATAGAAGCGGGGCATTAAGGAAACACTATAGAACAATAGTAATAGTAGTGGTTCTGGTATCTATAGCGTGCCCCTGTAAGCTTTTTAATGTAAACACTGAGAAAAGACAGTATTTACATGACTGCCTAGTAACACTTCTAGTGGCAGTCACTAAGATGGCCACTAGAGATGCTTCCTGTGTCAGTGCTGCACAGTGCATGGAGACACTGTAAGTTCCCCATAGAGAAACATTGATTCATTGATGAGGAGATGCTGATTAGCGCAGCATGGTGTTTTGCTACGCATGTGCAATAGCCTCCCAATGCTTTCCTATGGGAAAGTATTGGATTGGCTGAGATCATCATATTTGATGATCTCAGCCATGGAGGCGGAGCAAAATCGGGCCAGCCTCAGCAAGACCAGTACGGCAATGGAAAAAAGTTAAGTAAAACCACCATTTTAAAGTAAGAGAGGGTGGTCATAGACAAAAATAGTAATTTTAGCACAATTGGGTCAGGAATACACATTTGTGCTCCTGACACTATAGTGTTTCTTTAAACAACAACCGTCCATTGATTCTTTTGCTTTTGTAACATTGCCCATAATTTCTTTTCATAAATAACTCTTAGTGGTTTTACATTATGCACTGATGGAATTCGTTTTCCTAAATACAACATACTGATAATTTTAAGCCAGAAATGTGGTGCTTTTGTATTTAACAATATAGTAAAGGAAATGTTCATTAAATCAGAATAATATGCATCAAAATGCATTTAGTTATCAAGCAAAATATGTGACAACTAAAAAAAATCTAGGCTTTTCACATCATGACACCATTTAATTATAAACAAAGACATTTCTTCCAGAATATCATTAAATGTGGATTAGATGCTTGCGGTATAATTGGAAAAGAACCCTTTTAGTTCAGTTTAGAAAGTGACTAATGACCAAAAATAAATAGTAAGCAAAGTGTCTTTGTTTTATGATAAAACAGGGATCATTAGGCGAAAACATACATACTTCAAACACACTTCGGCAGTTCTTCGCCTGACCGGTGATGTCTTAGGTGTCTTTAATGGACATCTATCCAGTATGCCATGCTAGCACATATGTGCTTCAATGTGCCTTCATAAATGTTACATACGTGCCTGCACTCACATATATTGCACTGCAGAAGTAATTTGATTTACATACCATGTGTGGACAGCCAGGCAGGACATTTAAAGGGTCACTCCAGACCACTAAATAACTGTAGCTTGCTGAAAAGCTTAAAGGCAATCCGTTTTCCTGGCACTGCAGGTACCCTCTCCCTCCCACCTCCCATCCCAGGTAGCTGAAGGGGTGAAAACCCCTACAGGTCACTTACCTGAGACCCTGCCGATGTCCCTCGGCGGTGGTTTCGGGTCGGCGTCGCTCCTCCCAGTAATTACGTCAGCCAGTGGGCGAGACTGATCCCGCCCACCGGCTGAGGAAACGCATTAAGTCTCCCCACAGGAAAATATTGAAAATGATTTTCAATGCTTTCCTATGGGGAATTGAGCGACGCTATGAAGCAGGAAGTGCTCTATAGTCGCTGTCTAGTAGACAGCCACTAGAGGTGGAGTTAACCCTGCAATGTAATTATTGCAGTTTATAAAACAGTTGCAGGGTTAAGAGTAGTGGGAGTTGGCACCCAGACCACTCCACTGGG